ACACCCCCCGTCCAAACCGGTACTACAACAGATATCCGGTATCGAAACATGAAACACCCCGGTCCAGCCCCTCAAACCCTAGCACCCAAAGCATCACGGCAACGGCCAGTGAGAGGCGATGTAGAACGAACTCCCTAAGCATCCTGCAAGCTCGATTCTACGATGCAAGTAGCTCTAGAAAACCACTACTTGCAACAAGCATCTGAAAAAAATAGCATCCGCAAATCCATAATCCCTCTTGACCCGAATCCCCGATCCTCTATCCCTGAGCTGCCCTGGCTGCACCTCGCGGCCTGGGCCGAGCTTGGCACCTATGCACTGGGTGGCGAAGCTCAAAAAAAGTGCTCCCGGTACTCTTAGCCCCTGGCTAACTATTACTAGCAATGCTAGTCCCATGAATGAGAGCGGCAAGTTTGATTCGCTACAGCTCTGCCAAAAGCGTCTGCCAAAAGCGTAGCAACGACTCTATTTTGTAGCTGTCATGAACATCCGGGTAGTTATCACACGAGTAGTTGTTCCTGTTGCTGTGTTGGACTTCTGTTCTCAATGCTGTTAGGAGCATGACAGCGGCCATGATGACGATGACAGTTGCTGTTGTTGTTCCTACCATCATCACCTCGGGCTCAACATCTGGCATCTACTTTGTCGGGAGTCAGGACGGCACCTCACCAGGCTTCTCGTGAAGCGGACCAGCCCTCATTTCTCGCAGTTCAACACACCTTCTCGGAGGAGCCAAGATGTCAACAACATGCCTTGTTTATGTGCACTCTTATAGCCGAAGCCTCCGAAGCCTGAGCAAAAGACGCAGCCAAGGCACCGAAGAAGCCTCGGAGCCTTCGCAAGCACCTGCGGTGGGTTCGTTCGGGAGTAGCTCGGGTGCCTCAAGTTGTCAAATTGCAGATCCGGGCTCGAAACACTCTTTATCTAGCCTATTCCAGCATGCAGGAACTCATGACAAGACACGGCAGAAACCATTGCATTACCCAAGGCTGCACCTGGAATCATGATGTCCTCAAGCGATTCTCCAAACTCCCATTCTCCCCCCACAGCCCATTGCCGTTCCAGATGTACACCCTTCTGCGCCCCCAGCCGCCTACAGAAGTGGAGGCTTTGCTGGAATTAGGGGGGCTGCCGAAGTCCTGCGAGGCCAGTTGGAGGCAGGCTGGGGGCTACTTGGCCGGCAGACCTCGTCCACCTGGAAACAGCCAGACAGCCCTGCGCTTTGCAATGGTGCAAGGAGTCCTTGCCACAGGCCATGCCTTCGACCTCATGCATGTGGCACGAGAGACAACATGCAAAGGCGTGGAGTGATGCAGACACAGCATGCCAACATCCGCGAAGCTGGTGTTCTTGGTATTTCTCGGTGCAACCGAGAAATTATCCTTTCCGAGATCCCGACGTGCAGCGGTGAGGAAGACTCTGCGGAAGCAGCCCGAGCAGGTCGGGCAGGTGCTGGCAGGGGAGGGGCGGCAGCATCTTCTCCGAGAGTTTTCGGGCGTATATAAGCTTTTCAACGAAATCTGGAGCCGGAGTTCTGTAATAGACCCATGTCCGGCGACCAGGATTTGCAAGCTCCACTCCGCAACTCCACTTAGTTTACTCCACGATGAAGGCTGAACCTCAAGGCTAGGACCAAATTTCCAAATCTAGAGCATTCTCTACTCTGAACAGCGGGTCAAGGACTGGAGGGCCTCGACAGCTGCTCCTGCGAGGTCCCGCTTCTCTAGCCTTCGCAGTAGTTTGCATTGCCCTCAAGGTGGCATGACCTAAAGGATTCCACTAGACTGAGGCAGGAGTTTGATACCCTGGATCAGCGAGAAGACAAGACTGTGTGCCAGGCAGGTGGTGCGAAATGGCTGGGAGATCTCAAAGAACCTCAATCAAGCGACGTTGGGCAGCAGACGAGGAGGCCTTAAGCTCTGAAACATGAGTGCTAGTCGCCGCAAGGAGTCTGCTCTCGAACTAAGATCAGGGCTGCCGGCGGGTTGCATCTTCTCGTGCCTGCAATGGAGGAAGCCCGTCTTGAATGAAGCCACCTATGTATTTGTTCACAGTGGTTGCGTCTTGGTTTCTTGTCTCCAGTATGTGGGCTGATCATGAATCTCAAACCTTGGCCAGTCCATGGCCTTCAGGCAGCGAGCCCCAAAACACATTCCTGATTGAAATCTTAGTCCACGGCTGCCGGAGGATCTCCTCATACCTGAGTCGCAAATGGATGCATGCCTAAGGGTGCTGAGCCACCGGGACCCAAAAAAGCGGTGCTGGATGTTACCAAGCACAAAGCTCAGACTCAGCAACTCTCTGCAAGCGTTCCTTTGACCGAATACTCCCCTTGAGCGCACTGTGGGTGTATGTAGGGACCGAAGAAGCGCATGAAGCTGGCGTAGTCCACCTCCCGGTCAGCGCGAGCAAAGTCATGGCTGCCATTCTTTCTTGGGATGGCGAAAATGTGCGCTCTGCACTCTCTTTCCATGTATGACAGGGCAAAAGTTCAATGCACTGCGAGTTGCTCCCGGACACTTTAACTGCTGGGCGAAAACAATGCGGGCACTGGGAACACGAGCACCACGATGTCAGCCCCTCAACCGAAGAGCCTGCCTGATTTGAGCTGCGACTTTTCGTCAACAAAAAGTTGTACATTTGCTCACCTCGGACATGCAAGCTACGGGCTACCCAGCATGGTGTTGCACCAGAAGGGAGCAAGGGTTTGCATGTGATCCGGCAGTACCTGGCCGCATGACTTGCACGCCAGCTCACTCGTGTCTGGCATCTGCTTGTTCTGCCGAGCTGCCACTCTTTGCTGGATAATTGAAGAGCTCCATGAAGCGCACACACTCTTCACCTCGACACTGTCAAGCATGCACGGGCTTTTCAGTGGTCTGAGGAGGGGCGACACTTCTTATGATTGTGCTAAGCCAGACTCGTGGATGCGAACATTCCGCAGTAGAGGTCAATATGGATGCAAAACCGAGACGGGCCAGGCCGAAATCTGACACCTGCATCGCCCTGCGAGTGCCAGGCGGGAGACGATGCCTTGGTTGGCCTCATCCAGATGGAGCCAACGGAAGAGATCTCGAGTGCTTCTGTACCTGGTCCAGGAGATGTGAAGCTTTTTGGCCATCTCGGCGGGAAGCATCCTGTACCTGGACCGAAATTTAAACGCCGTACCTGCCACAAATCTCCTCCAAGCGAACTTCCCAGTCTGTGCATTTGCTGGGATGAAAACCTTGAAATACCGCAAGCCAGAGCCCATCACAGACTGCCTTGTGGAGCAAGCTGAACCTTTGACCCAAAGTTAAATCAAGTAAGCCATCTTCATCGGCATCACTGATTCCGCCTCTGACTCTCGCTCGGCCCTGATCCCAATTCTCTGCACACTCACCAAATCGTTGCTATCACCATCACCATGATCACCCGCATCGCGAAAGTGATCTGCCTCAATTGTAACTTGAACCTCTCCAAACGAATCAGCGAGCTCATTCCTTGCCCCTGAAAAGAGAGATTAAGGTTCAGGCTTGGCTGTGGCTTTGCTGCCGATGATTTCAGCCACCTGTCTCATCTCAGCCTGCACCAGATGGAGTGTGAGCATGCCTGTTGGGTTAATCAAGTTAAGCTGAACGAGGCGGGCTGTCTCGCTTGCACTACAGACAGGTCTGAAACCGTACCGCCATGCCCGCGAAACCCCAAAGGCTCTGCTGCAGCGCTTTGTGTGGTAGTTCGTCATCCTGGAGTCACACCGGACAGGATTGCTCCCTGCACGATGCCATCTTCTTTGCCACCCAGCCTTCTGCTGGGCAGCTTGACATCAAGTTGTGAAACGGACATGTCGGCAGCATCTCGGCTGAGTTCAGGAGAGGGTGGTGCCGTCTCTGCAGCAAAAGGAACCGATGGACTGCCGGCTGGCGAGGCATCGCAAACGATGCAGAAGGATATGGATAGCTGCAGATTTCCGACTTCCCGGGCGACTGCACATCCACAAAGCTTGCGGGTGGCTGGTTGGAGTTTGATTGGGTATCTGCACGACGCTGGGCTGCGGCCAGCTCCACTATTTCAGAACGCGCAGGCGCCTCTAGCATTTAAGCTGGAGTTCGCTGCTTAGCTCTGAACGGTTGCAGGCGAGAGGTGGTGCGGTGATGGCTGCGTGCCCCAGGCTTGGACAGGCTGCACAAAGCACAAAATAATTCAACTCGAACTAAAGCTGAAGCTGCACACTTCCTCCACTCCCTAGACCTGCAGACCCGAAACCCTGTCTATATCTTTCGTGACTCATCTTCTGACTTCTTGCTGGCATCTGCTGAATGGAGTTTGTAGTTTACTGGGGCTATGCTCTATAGGCGCCTGTAGATTCGACAGGAGGCCCAAAAAGGACTCTGCTGATGTGACGGGATGTGCGTTTACCACTCCAGGATTGCTGCCAGGGACAGTGGCCGCCAAGACGTGGACAACAGCCCTCGAACTGCGCTTGTGGGATCTCTATGCCGCATTCACGTCCAAGTGTCTATCGTAAACAATCTTCGGCAACGGCTTGTAAGCTTACAAGATTTTAATTCTTGGGCCATTCTTTCTTGGCTTTGCCTGTTGGTGGAATACAGGAGTCTCCGCAATTTTCTTGCGTCAGCTCCGCAACCCCGGCAAGGCACTTGGACAGACAAACGAGCGGCGACCCAGTGGCGCATGAGATCCCATGAGCAAGGACGCCGTAAGCCGTAAAATCATGCTAGGTTCAAAACATTTGAACAAGAACAGGAATAGCACCAGGCGCAGAGCAAAGTGGGTGATCTGTGGATGTTGTACAACATGGTCTCTCAGAGTTACTGCAAATCTCGACGATTTGCTGCTGCAGCCAGGTCTGTTCAGGGCATTATCCGACTGAAGCTGCTCCCATGCTGCCAGCAGGTTCTCCTTCGTCAGCAGAGCACTTTCCAACCTTCAGAACTTTAGGAAGGCCCGTTTCACCCCGCATCTCCCAAACCTTCTCGCGGTCCTGGCCGCGCACCGGCTCATGAGGATGGATTGTCCTCGATGACACGGGCTTGGCGCTTCAAACCCTGGGGCGCTGGAATGGCTTGTGGTTGGCACACCCACACAAGCGTGCAACTGAAACCCATTTTTTTGAACCCGTACTGAAACCCATGAACTTGGAAACCTCCAAGCCAGACAACCCGTGCTCAAACTGCGGTCAAGCTGCAGGAGATATCAAAGACATTAAAATTGCCTCCTGGATGGCTGCATCGTCTGGATCCGCCATCTCACCTGAATACTGACCACATGTTCAGGCATTTCCCAAAGGCGACACAAAAGTGCCCTTGCAAAAGTGTGGCCGAAGTTGGTAAAGCCGTACACAAAACGGTGTCTCCGATTTACCCTGGCTCGGAGAGCTTCGAATCTCGACAAGGTGGGTAGCTACTCACATCGTCCCAGAAGCATGGCCAACTGATTCTCTGTCTCGAACCGTGGAGGGCATGATCATTCTTTATGGGGGGAGGGGGAGAACTTGCCTGGCAGCATCTAGCAAGTGGCACAGGAGATGCGCGGCCCCAAAGCCAGGAAAACTCCCGATGCCCCAAGTGCCCACTGCCAAAAGCTCGCATCGCTCCGAGGCCCGCGCCGAAGATGCCGGACATGCCAGGCCTGTCCACGCCGCTCTCCTCCACGTGGCTTTGCCCACTAACTCTTTATACAGTCTGCCAAGAATGCGCGCGGCCTCAGAATCAAGCTTTAACTTTAACTACCTATAAGGCCCATCTGAGTGGAAAAACCATCCGACAAACATGAAAAGGTTGAGCCTCGACTGCGCCTGAACATAACTCCAACTCTGGGGCGAAGTTTACAGAGTTTACACATTCTCAGAGGCGACATTGCCAAAATTTCTCACAGCTGTTTGCTCGGCGTCCTGTAGTGACGCATGTTCGTCGAAACTCCACCAGAGGCTGATGATAATATGCATGCAGATATGAAACTGTTCTCAGGGCTTCCAGCCTGCTCCGGCATGCCGCTCGGTCCCAAAGGGACTTGCACGGGCGGAAGCTCGCCGGGAAGTCCTCCGCGCTGCAAGCAGTGAAAGTACTCAGGTCGAACTCCAGCTTGTGATCGAGACACGGAACTTTAGGAGTTCAGGGTGCTGGAGGGGGGAGATTTCGGCACGAGAGCGGAGATCGTACGTAGCTCCAGGCACACTTTCAGTTTGGCTTGCATTCCCGAGACTTCGGCATGCGTAAAGGCAAACTGCCCAATGCTCGCCACGAGCCGGCGCGGCCCGACCTGCACAAACCCCCTCCAGCCCCCCGACACCGTATGAAACCTGCACATCCAACTTCATGGTCTGGAAGAACTTAACTCTCCGGTCCTGCGGGCAAGCACAGCCGTTCCTGAGATCGGTAGCCGGCATGTTGCAGTTCATGGTACATCAGTGATTGAAATGCGAGACTCGGAGCGTCATGCTAATTTCAGCTTGAGGCTTCCGGTTTTTATGGGCCTATGCCGACATGAGTGCCCGTCATTGGAGTTCCTCTTGCAAAGACAAATACCCCAAAAGGCCTTCAAAAAACAGGCACAACCCCCTGGCGAACTTCCAATTGCATGTCCTCCAGATTCTGTTGTCATGAGTCATGCCTCTAGGGTGGCATACCGTCTTGCCTTGCCCGTCCCACGGCTGGAGATGGCTGAGTCGGTGCTGCTTGCGCGCCAGTTGGACTATGCAAGCAAGCAGCATAAAAGAAAATGGAGACACTGTCCACCAGGTACTCTGGCCTCAACAGTGAAGGCATCTCTTTTCGCAAGTCTCTGTGGACCAAAAATCGACCTTTCGACGCAAAGCTGAAATCGTACATCACATGCACCCCTCAATGGCCGACGCATCACAAACACGTCTGGCTTCCCGATTCGATGCCTGGCTGAGTTGTGATCTCCATCAATCAACACCTGTCACGGCTGCAAGGTGATAAGTTATAGTAGCTGTGCTGAGAAGATGATAGGTTTGGATTGTTCTTGGTCGTGTAACGAGATACACCATACAGCTTCATGCAGCGAAAGGAGCCCAGAATCCTGAGCTGTAAAAGCCGACTTCTTGAAATGCGAAGACTGGAACCGTAGTCCTACCGACACTTGCAGAAGTCTGAGGCACAGCGTCGCTTACTCAAAGAAAGCTTTCGAGTCAGTTCTTGTAGATTCCGGTCCGTCAATCTGGCCTACGGCCATATTCACAAGTGTTGGCTCCCTTCAAGCACTTTACCCCCTTCGTGCCATGTTCTTGTCGCCCGCATACAGCTCATGGATGTCGTGGGTGTGGTGCGGGTCGATGAGATCGTCATTGACCTCATCTCAGGATGTCTTGCTGGTGGACTTTGGACGATTTGGCTCTGTTCAATGGAACCACAGCCCCATGCCAGCTCGCATTGGGAAGGACTGTCTGCAGCTCAGGAGCACCCGCAACGAAGAGGGCTGGAATAAAACAGGTGTGGACATTCCTCAGACCAGCGTCTCAACAGTCTGAACTCCAGATCGGCTGCTCAGACCAAGAGAAAACGAATTTGCCCAACCTCATCGCTATGTCTCTGAGAACCGTTGCGTCATGCACTGCTACATTCTCCCGTTTCTGCATAAGCCACGGCCGTGCTTGACCTAGTCCCCAGCTGCAGGTACTTAGGCTCTTTCCCAACAGGTTTGCAAGCACGCTGCCTCAGGAACCTTGACCGGGCGGCTCAATAGGCTTCAGCTTGAGGATGTCCATGCCAGTGCCTAAAGCAGGCAGAAGAGCTGGATGCTTAGGCATTAGGCCCGCAACTACTTGAGGTTCGAGGGCACATTAGTGACTGGCCACAGCAAGGGACCAACATGAGCCGATGGACATGGCTTGCGGGTAAGTTGTTGAAAACTTGTCATGTCAGCATCTCATCATACTACCACTGCAACGTTCTGCCTCCTGGGTTACACATATCAGACGACACTCAGCCATACCCAGCCTCGTTCCTGAGAACTCACGTACTGTCTATTTGCAGTTCCACGGATGAGCGTCTGAAGAAATCCGACAGTCTAGGTACATCGGTTGGCCTCTCCGTGACTGGTCAGGCCATGGTGAACCACTCTGCTACAGCTCAAGGCAATACACAAGCAGAAGCAAGGCGCAAAGAGGCAGCACGGCAAGGACATGCTCAAACCCAGGCCATGGGCACTTTCAGACCAAGGAGCGCTTTAGCACCGTCTTCCGCACCATTCGAATCGCGGCAGCCACCAGAAGAGAAGGCTTGAAGCGCAGTGGCATTTTGTCCTGGGCTGCGGAGCTTGAAGCTCGTTGGGTACGTACTTCCCTCGCACCTTTAAACTTTGCCGTTGCCTCCCACTACAGGGTCCTAAATATGCCACGGCATGATGGAAATTTCCCAGACAGTCTCTATGAAGGGATTTGCTAAAGTGAAGGAAACGAATTCACGTGGCATTGCATGGCATGTTTGCGCTGCCGCTCGATTGAATTTGTTACAGAGAGCTCGCAGTTTGCCTTACGCGCCTCCGTTGCAGCATGTGCCAGTGAAATGCAAATGTGTTGGTCAAGTTACAGGGATCAGACCACACCACCTCCTCAAGCTTTCGACCCTTCGTCGCTCGCCCGCAAGAGTAAAACCTCTATCATTGCTGAGACCCTGAGAGCCCATGCAGCCGCTGTGTCAATGAGCTCCCTTACCACCATCTCCAGGCTGGAGAACGGAGAGTCCAGGACCAAACCTGCAATGCTTGGATCGCGGTGCCCATGCCTCGGTACGTTCGTGCTTCCGTCTTGATGCAGAGTCCGCTCTTGACACTCCTGCCAAGAAATTGTGCCAGCGTCTTGCATGCGCAGGGGCGAATATGTTCGCGGTAACACTTAGACTCTTGAACTGGGCAGGCGGTCTTCTCAAACGCATCAGGCTATCGTCGACCAACTCCTCTGTAGATTCCAAGAGACAGTAGGGCGGTTGCCGCACCCATGGAGCGGCCCCATAATGCAATGGTGGACACCTGGCATTTACACATTTATAACCCGTGAAGACCCAAGCCCAGCCCCGACATGCCCTGTAACATCGCCGGAGTATGCAGCAAAGACAGCGGATAACACGGATATGACATGACATGACATGACATGACATGACATGACATGACATGCCAGCAATGGCACTTATGATGCCGTCCGGTCTGGAACCCTCGCCCGCAAAGAATGATCGGTTTCTAGCTTCCAGGAATGATGATGGATGCACTTTGGGATGGTGAAGCCGCCTCTCCGCTGTCCCGTAGGTAGGAGATGATGGTGCTGACATCTTCCTCCAATCGAGTGACTGTCGCACAAGCGTCTGAAAATTAAGCAAACGTTACCCGTGAACTGGTGCGATCACAAACCCCATATTCCAAGCTATTCCGGCATTTCATGCTGGAACCCAGCGTGCTGGATTTGTCCGGCTCCGCATGCCCGCAAAATCCCGCACAGCCACTCAGTGAGGCTAGCAAACCCTCGCACAGCCACTTCGTAGTGCCATTGCGCCAAAGGTTTCGCGGCTGAGATCTGGCAGAGGGTTCCCTGTCCCGCTCGTGATAGCCCAGCGTGACGTAGTCACCTGGCCCGGAGTTGCACCGGTGTCTAAGATTTGCTGAGGGGCACAGCTACCAGTCAATAGCCTATAGAGGCCTAGAGTACAGTCGTATTCAGTCCAAGATTGACTCTTCCAGAAAGACCTTCGGAGAGCCCGCAGCCCGCGAAGTCGAAGGCGAACATGGTAATGCCCCGTGTGAGGACCTGAGTTTCGTGATGTGGTCATTGTAGCCGCGTGTGATGCCGCAGCCCTCAATATCCCGACCATGAAGAGGCTGTGGCTGCGCAGGGAGTCACTGAATTGCTAAGACCCCGGCCATGCGTACATGCTGCATGGCTTCCAGTCGGCAGGAAGAGTTCCCATGAAGGCAAACCTTCACAGTCACAGGTGGAAGGCCAGCTTGAAACTGTGCCGCTGCTCCGATTAGACGATCTGCAAGGGAGGAGCACCGGCTTGTTCTTTGACGTGGCCGGTTTGTCAATATCCGGCTGAGAACCCAACAGGTTAACACCATTGCAACATCCTCACTGCACGTTTCTTGCGACATCCTGTGACACATCTCGCCACGACTGTGCTGACAGTACGTGCAGTATTGCTGACACCAAAAAAATCCAACAAGCAGCATCAGCATCAGCAGCTGCTACTGCTGCGGTTGCTACTGCCTGCTGCTGCTGCTGCTGCTGCTACTAATACTACTATTACTACTACTACTACTACTACTACTACTACTACTACTACTACTGCTACTGCTACTACTACTACTACTACTACTACTACTACAACTTCATTCCTACTTCTACTACTACGTTTACTCCTCCTCCTCGTACCACTACCTACTACTACTACTACTACTACTACTACTACTACTACTGCTACGGCTACTGCTACTGCTACTGCTACTGCTACTGCTACTGCTACTGCTACTGCCACAAGTTCGCAGGGGACGGCGACTTGGTCGCTGCGACAATGTCGCATCAACTGTGGGGCC